ATATCAGTCATTTGATCTGTTTATGGGTTACGTGTTCTTGGGCGGTCTTATTTATTTATTTATTTAAACACGTAAATATTGGTACAAGGAAGCACCAGATAAATATGCGCCTCACAAATCTTATTTGATTTGTATGTGGGCTGTGATGCCGCTCAGGTGCCCAGACTGAAGCAGGTGGTTTTCTTAGGGGGCCGCACCCGGAGCCTTTAACCAAAAGGTCTGATCCACAAGGCAGTGGAGCATCGTGAGGAGATGCAGTCCCATGGTAGCCGGTGACCAACAATAAGTTCATACGCCATTCGTTCCATCAGGATCCTGGAGCCCATGTACACCATTGGTTTGGAATCAGGTTTTTCCAACTCCCCTAGTGGACCGTCCGTGTCCACCGACTCAGTTGAAGCTCTGGACATTCGCTTTTCGTCCTCTCAATTTCGTAAACAACAGTGATGCCACGAGAAGGCAGTGAGTAGGACTTCCCTGGCAGAGGCTATATATTCGCGTGGCCGTGTGAGAGCATTTCGAGACGGAGAGCGGACTGTCCTCACTCTCAGCCGTACCAGGGCATTTGGAGGCTCTGTCATTGCTAGGTCTTCCACATATTTCCGCTTGTCAGCTCTAATACTCTTCTTCACTCTCTTGCTTGCTGCTGTATATTGAACCTGTCCGTTTCCTTTCTCTGTTTTGTGGCGTGGTACGGTGAAATTTGTAACTTTGTCAGGGGGTTGGTGGAAATAATGCCACCTATGATCATGCTGTTAAAAACATAGATATGCCAGTATCTCACAATTCTCATTTCTTTCTCCCGGTCCATATTGCCTCGTTATGCATCCATACCCGCTGTTATCTATCCTTACCTTGGTGTTTAGATCCCTCATCAGGATGGTTAGATGTTCTCTTAGACGTTTCTATAGGATAAACTGCAGTCTGTCATAAAACTGTTCTACATCGTCTTCACTACCGCGACGGTGGTGTAGTGGTTATTATGTCTACCTTCCAAAAAGCAGTAGTATTTAGGAAACCCTTGGCTAAAACCTGTGGGTGTAGGAGAACAGCCTATAAACGTCAAGGAAATCAAAGTCCATATACGAAAATGTTTGATCATATCCCTAATTTGTTTTAAGTTCGACAATATTAGTATACACAGCAAAACTTCACACTTGTCATGTTCGTAAGATTTGACTATTGTTCTTCACTTAGCCAATCTAGAGATCTTGTTCTACCTCGTATTGACTAAATAATTGAGAAAGTATTCTTATTGTTAGTAACTGTGCTTTGATATTTTATAATAGTCTTTCCGAAAAGTTTTTTACTGTAGCAAATGATACATGTTCATGTGGACAATGACTACTCACGCACTTACATATTACAATCAACATAAGTTTGCTGCTTCACATTATGCGATATGTGTGATGTACTTAAAAGACATCATTTAACGAAAATAACAGTGTTTGTATACTATTCACTCTCATTTAAAAAGTTTTTAATAGTACAGTTCACGGTTACACTCTATACGTAATGGACTATCGATTTTCTTACTGATTTAATCAATCGTAGAGTTCGCCATATATGTTCATAATTGTTCTAAAATTTTGAAAACAACCTACCTATTAAGTCAAAAAAACAATTTACCTACCAACTGATTCCAAATGATCTTTTTTTCATTTCTAACCTGACGAAATTCCTATAAATATAGAAATACTGGGAATTTCCAGTTAGGTTGAATTACAGCACTATCTAGGCCTTTATATGGCGAAATTTGAGTAAAGAACTAACAAAACTCCATAAGCGTTATTGAAAAATAGAGCTGGGAATGTTAATTGTTACTCTGCTCTCCTCTAATCCACATTTATTTATGCAATCACTGCATTCTTCAAGTGTTTAAAACGGTCAATTACGAAATATCTGATAAGTAGTGATAAGTAGTAGTATCATTCAACTCAGTATGTATAGTAACTATGGCGTGACTTCCAACCTTCCAGTCAGTCAACTACAAAGTCGGACCAAGGACATATATCAGTCAGTCAGCTACAACGTAGGACCAGGCACATTTATGCATCGGTACAAGTTGCCATACCTCGTTAGCACAACAAGATCAACACCGGATTCATAGAAATAGTTAATTTAGTGGTGGTAGTAGTATATAAATTATAGGTTGTATATAAGGATATAGTATAGGAAGGAAGAGAGATATGAACCAATTTTAGTCTCAAGGTTTAAAGGAAGATAAAGAGTGTATACACCTACGCCATTGTGATCGATTCTGAGCCATGTCACCTAGAGTCTCCAACCACTGGTTACGATAGTCACGCGGACCCCAACCAGGTAGTCTGCATCTGTCAACATGGCTCAGACTAGAAGTTAGTGACTTCAAGCACTGATGCCACGTTTTGGTTTGGCCGACCCTAACTTTCTTCCAACCATCCTCTACACTAGTCAGCATAGCGCGTCGTGGTAATCGGTGTTCAGGCATACGTAACACATGGCCCAACCATCTCAGTCGATGAAGATTCATCACCTCATCAACTGATTTACCATCATTCCCTAATACCCTGTGTCTAACCTCACTGTTACTTACCCGATGATCCCAGCAGATGCGAGCAATATTTCTAAGGCATCTGTGGTCAAATACTAGTAACCTACGAGTATCTTCTACTCTTAATGGCCATGTTTCACAACCGTAAAGTAGAACAGAGCGAACTGATGCACAGTATACTCGTCCCTTAATTGATAGACGGATATCTCGTCTTCGCCATAGGTGACGTAAGTTGGCAAAAGCCAAACGAGCTTTTTGAATCCGTGCTGATATTTCGTCAGACACCAACCCATTAGGGCTGATCAGACTTCCAAGATAAGTGAAGTTGTCGACGCGTTCGACTATTTCACTCCCTATCCTTAGTTCGGGTGTTGACGCAGGCCAGTCCTGGAGTAACAATTTACATTTGGATGGGGAGAATCGCATCCCAAACATCCTGGCATTATTACTGAGTTCCAACAGAAGACTCTGCATTTTGCCAGCATCTTCACCAAACAGGACTATGTCATCTGCGTATTCTAAGTCGCTTAGTGGTGTCCCTGGTAGGAGATCAATTCCTGTAAATTCAGTCGAAGAGAGTGTTATTTCCAGCAACAGGTCTATAATGAAGTTAAACAAAAATGGGGATAGTGGACAGCCTTGTCGGACACCACTTGAGGTTGTAAAATCATATGACAGTTCGCCATAAGCTCTCACTCGACTGGTAGTGTTCGAGTAAAGAGCCTTCACAAGGTTTATGTACTTCTCAGGTACACCTTTCAAAGACAGACACTGCCGCAGAACCTCTCGGTCTACAGAGTCAAATGCTGCTTTCAAGTCAAGAAAAACTATCATTGTCGGACGCCGATAAGCGTGTCTGTGCTCTAAAACTTGACGAATGGTGAATATGTGGTCGATACAGCCACGACCAGGTCTGAAGCCAGCCTGATTTTCTCGTGTTTGCAGTTCACGAGTCTTAGTTAGGCGCCCGATAATTATTGAGGCTAGTATTTTAGATGCTATGTTGGTCAGACTGATCCCTCTATGGTTATCGCAGGATGATTTTGACCCCTTTTTATATATTGGGACAATCAGTGATTGTGACCAGTCGGATGGGATTACATCCGTCTCCCAGATTTTAGCCAGAATATTAGTCAACCTAATCGCTAAAATTGGACCACCGTATTTAAAAACCTCTGGAACCAATCCATCAAGACCAGCTGCTCTTCCCCGTTTCAGATTACCTATAGCCTTTTGAACTTCAAGTAGGGTCGGGGGGCCTACTTCAATGTTCCATTCAGGTTTTCTGGGAATAGTGGGTAGTTGTGCAGTAGCTGAAGGCCAGCTAAACTGCTCCTTAAAGTGTTCCGCCCATCGTTCTAAACGTTTGGGTTGAGAGGAGATAAGGGTTCCGTCTTTTTCGGAGATTGTCTCACTTACACTTGACTTCTTAATTCCGGTTTCTTTTATTAGTCTGAATAGTTGCCTGGTGTTGCGTACAGCCGCTGCCTTTTCCATCTCTTTTGCTTTCGTTGCCCACCACTGCTCACGATCGTTCCTTAGACTTTTAGTTAACCTAGATCTAATTTCTTTACGCTTTTCGTCATGTTCAGAGCCTGATGGGATGAATTTACGCGAATCCATCAGTGAAATAGACTTAGAAGAAATCCATTGGTTTTTTGGAGCCCTATGGTTTAAATGACTAATAGATGTTACTGCTGTTTCCACAGCTGTTCGTATGTCTTTCCAAGCAGCATCTGTGTCAGTCTTGTTTACAGAACTGCCTAGATGTGAACTCAGTTGTTTCTGGAATTCGCATTTGGCTTTCTCGTCCTCCAGTTCAATCCTAATGGGTCTTCTTAGTGTAGTTTTCCTGCGTCCATTGAGGCGCAGACAAATGCGCGCTCGTATTAAAGCGTGATCAGAGTCTAAACAAGTATTCCAATACGAGCGACAATCTTCTATTGAGCCTCTCCAACGATGACTGATGACAATATGGTCTATTTGAGTCCATCGTTGGTTTGGTGCAGGTGGTCGCCATGTTAGACGATGTCTCTCCTTATGCTTAAAATTAGTGCTTGCTAGAAATAAACGATTGTCTGAGCATAGTTGCAACAGACGATCACCATTATCGGTTATGTGTTATATATATTCCACTATCCTTATTATGTATTGACACTTATTGATGGACTGTCATTGATTGACTGCTCCTTGTGTTGGATTTTGCTGTGGAAATATATTGACGTTATAGCCAGACTAATCTCGTGTTCTTGATCTGTGTTGTGTTGAAGTCCTGCAGAATAGACACTTAGTGGAAATCTAGTGTAGATATTCGTCTAAGGTAAATTAACGTCCCACATACGTGTAAAAAGTGAAAGGACTTTTATAACCAGAACCCTAGAGTTATAACATTATCTCAAATTTATAACAAGTTTGTTTACAGAACTTGATTTATAATGACTGATCGTTCTACTTTATACTATTTTAGAATTTGATTATCAAAATAATCGTCGTCCTACACATGGCATGCACTCCATGATTAAGGATCAAGAGCAATATAATCGTGACTTGATGACTCAGTATGAAATAAATCGGGCTTTGTTTCTGGCTAATCCACCTCCATCCGTTTTAGCTAGTCGTATTCGTGGTCGCGGTAATAATAATAGTATACCCAATGATAGCTGTCGAATAGATATACAAAAGAATTCTTTAAATCAACCTATAGTAAATGTATCACGAATGGATCGTTCAACAGTTTTTCGATCGACATCAGATCAACAGCGTAATGTTTTCCCATCGAAATCAATGAAAGAGCGTGGATTTTACAATTTAGATTCTGGTATGTTTTTTTTGTATTTCGTAAGTAAATAACGTTCCAAATGTTCTTGTGATAATTCTTTCGCTGAATTAATGTATGTGTAGATTTCATTTGTTTAAACTGGTATATTTGGATAAGTTAAATAGGTGTCAAGCGTTAAGAAAATGAAATAATTTTGACAAAATCAGTTAGAAATAAACTTCAACGCCGAGTTTGTGTTTAGTGTAGGGTAATAGTTGCTTTGGCGACTCAGCTTGAGATGCCAATGATTTTAACTTCAACAAGGACTGACAGTGTCTGTTATCCAATACCATTATATCTCTAAATTTACTCTATTCCATCTGATCATATGAATGCTGTCTCATGACTATACGTGAAAAGTTTTGAAATGATCTAATTGGCTGCTATTTTTATTAGTAATATTCCTAGGGAAATTGTTAAGTCGCAAAATGTTTAGTATGTTATTTTTCTCCGTTTATTTATCTTCTGAGGTTTTGATCTTGATGGCCTTTTGCTTAACTTTCTAACCAAAGTCATCTTGGAATAGATGAATGTACAAAGTTGAAGTCTATGTACTGATGCAAATATTTCGATTTTTTTGTAGATGAATGAATTTTAATTTCCATTAAAGTTCATTTTAACTAAAGCAGTCTAAGAATGGTATTTCACTTTGTTCATCTTCCTTTCCGATGATTGGTTTGATTTGATCTGAGAACGTATTTATCTAAGAAAGGTCCTTCACACTGCAACTTTTACGGATCTATTAGTATACATACAAACATGCTGTGATATTTCATACAGAATAACCTTGAACAAAAACAACATGACACAGACATAATCACACTTAATTTAAATATGATTGAACTAAATATTCGATGGTCAATATGTTTTATTACTTGGACTGTAGTGTTGTCAATATAAATAGGAGTCTACACAATATAAACACTAATGATGTCTCCTTGAATGACATTGATAAATTTTTGCTTATCTATCGCTAATTGATCGGATGAATTTGACAATCAGCATTGGGAGTTTGGAGAGATTGTATTATTTTCGCAGTTGAAGTCACGAGTCGATTCATGAAGGGTTGCGCAAGATCGTGGACTGATTGAAGCTAAGCGTTAACACCGTTGAATGCCGTCTCGGTGGTCTAGGGGTTAAGCGTTCGCGCGCGAGGCCAACGGTCCTGGGTCCGAGTCCTGCGTGCGGGATTGTGGATGCACACTGCTAAGGAGTTCCATAGTGGGACCAAATGACCGTCCAGTGCTTCCAGGTGGTCTTGCTTGTATCGACTCGTGATTCCAAATGTGGGAACCTGAAAATATTTTTTAGTTTACACTGTTCGATATTTTCTTACTTAACACAAATGAATCTTAGTTCTGTTAAATAATACAGTATATAGGTATTATCACCAAGTTTTGATTTGATAATTTCGAATACATTGAGCATTGGGTAGATAGTCATAAATAAATAATCTATTTGTAATATCCCAATGAGTAGAAAAATCAGATTTTCTGACGTTTCCTATTGTTCCGTTGGACTATTCAAGCTTGGATTAATTTTAATTTGGTTATTTATTCTCTGAAGAAGTGGCTGAGTCACGAAATGTCAGAAAATTCAATTTTTCTACTCATAGGGATATTACAAATATTATTTATTTATAATATAGTATAGTTTGTTGATTAGTTCAAACTATTTGTATACTTCGATTTCTGAATGTCTAGTATAATATTTCATCTTATTTTCTAACTAATTATGTTGATTGTTTGTAGAACATGACAGTCGGGATGTCTTGTCCAAAAATTCTCGTGGCCTAACGCGACATTCGCGAGTTCACTTTCAGAATAGTTTTCGTCGTGGACAAGGTTCAAGACAATACTGGGGTCATGATGATAGATATGAAATTCATGAGAATACTCCAGGGATTCGTGTTCAAAATTCTTTTCACAATGGTAATATTCCAATAGTTTTTTAAACTGTCCGATATATATATATATATATATATATATATATAAAGCCTGAGGAAGTTGTAGGTAGGAAACTGTTTCTTACATTTATATCTGGCTTTAATTTTCTCATTAATCTTACTATTCAACCACATTATTTAATAGAAGGACGTTTGTTAATGCGGACAAAGCTTTGTTAGTTCTTTTCGAGAGTAAAACATTTGTATGATTAGATTCGTGGAACATTATATTTATGGAATTCAGTCCACTAACAAGTTGACTAAAAACAAAGTAATCCAGAAATAATGGAATACATAGTGATTGTACCGTCGATACAAATAAATTTTAAAAAGTATCCTGTACAGGTTATTATAGAATATACATTCAAATAACCAGCCCTCAATTGGGAATAGACATCGCCTTTAAAATTTCAATACCGGTCGGTAAGAAATATAGTGCTTTCCACAAAGGCAAGAAGATCTTAACGAATAAAATAACTAATTCAGCAAACAACTGAAAAGCATAACATTCTATCATCTTCCAGTTTTCTCCCATCGTTTAGTATGATTGGGTAAGTATTTCATTACGATGATTTCCTGCCTTTCTTAAATTATTCGTAATAACCTGACTATAGTTGTTTAATTTAGTTGAAGGGTTATTGTGTTCGGCACAATCCCGTATGGTTGTATGATATATCTAATATACAAAATTTCCTGTAATCATACTTAACTATAATACCCAATGTTTATTCTTAACAAAATATTTTCTGCACAGCAAACGTAATGGGCTAACATGGTTTCTGTGTAGCATTCAATTTATTGAAATTCATTTTTTATGTAAACTATTTTGTTTCTTTTAATAATGACAAACCAGCGATCCGTGTAAAGTGATTGGCAATAATATTGATCGATTGGAAAACATCACTTCTTGTTCCTGTTTTACATAAAAAAATAACAAATAAGTTCATCCGAATACACATCAAGAGCCTGACTTACAGTGCTTCAATCATCTAAAATCCATTTACTGTTAAACCATAAATAACGCATATGGATTAAATGTGAATTTCAAAAGTTCCACTTAGTGTTTTCTTCGTATTCATAATATAATTGCGAATAAATGATTAATAATGATAAATAAGCAGTAGCTTTTAGCAATCCAGCGAAATGCAGCATATTAATTTATCACTGAAGTATCTTCGATTTTTTGTTCGAGAATGGGCGGTAAATTTTATTGGAAACCATGAAGCTACGTTCAAAATTAACGAAAAGGCACACAAAGGCTTTACAAAGGAATAAAAATATGCCAAAAATAGATAGACTGGAAGACTTTTGGTCAGAATCATAAAAAATTGAATTGAATATTGTATGTTTCGGGAAGAAAATTATAGACTCGAGAAACTTACTATCCATAAGGATACAAACTAACCAATTATTGCGTCGTTATGAAGAACAATGATGTTTTGAGCTATCGACAACTCTCCTAATATATCCATACGTACTCTAAATTTATTCATTTCAATTAATCATTACTTGATTGAATACTCCGACAAATGATGTTTCATGCTTGAATGGTCAATCACTGTGACTACCACGCTTATATTGGTTCTAAAAATTTGGATGAATTTCGTCGTAACACTGAGATGAGATGCCTGAACTGAGAGTGCTTTCACTAAACCGAGCACTAGATCTTGCCATGAATCATTAAAGAAAGCAGAATTATCATCACTTTATTTGAATTTGTGACGGTTTATTTAAAAATCAAAGTTAATATTTATGTCAGAAAATTCTAGAGAGGATAGCATGATTATGATTTACCTGTCAATTAATTAATTAGTCGACCAAAGAAGAACCGATGTCTATGCAATTCAATCCTTGATAACGTATATAGAGAACGAATACTGGCTCTTATGAGAGCCACTACATTGTGATTACTTATTTGACTGGTCTTTTATTTATTAATAATGAGTATTAATGGGTGGCGATAAATTACTTAATGATAAAATGATATGAATTATGTTTCATACCTTAGCAAGTTAAGGGTTCAAACAAACATTAGTTTGTTGTTTCGATTCTCTCAGAATAGCTTATGTTAGTGTATCAAACAATTACTAAATTGTTTATGCTAGATCTACCAAAAAACAGATGGGTAGCTTACGAAGTGAAATGTAAGCAACACATTTACTCATTTCGGATAATCAAAGTAGATCATACCGGTACCCTAAAGCGGATAGACAAATATTTTCGAATGGGCAAAGAGTGATTCAATCTGTGAGTGGGTTGGGTAAGAATAAAATTAAGTGACTCATGTAATCCTGTCAGAAGTGATCTAGTGTAGGGGAAAAATAGTACTTTCATGATTATGGTTAGTAACGATAATATCCAGTTATGATAAGGTAGACCGGTAAATCTAAGTGCTAACGTATGGAAGTATGTATTTTCAAATTAACGTTCCTCCTCCTCTCTGTTAATGGGACATAAAATGGTTAACAATCATGTGTTTTTAAATACATAAGGTGGTCTGTTTACACATGATCGTAGTGTTCTATATATTTGACAACTCTAAATCCCTTACATATCTGTAGTGAGGCGCATACGTACAGGTTGGTGTGCTGCTGAAAATTTTTAGGTCTCTAAGATGTAGATTCAAATTCACTCAAAAAACTTTCTTTTATAATTACCTTGGATGGATTCATGTTTACAAATTGATAAGCCCAGTATCTATTATCTTTACAATCTTGTCGTTCGTAAGACGTGTAGTTGGACAAGCAGTTTGGTACACTTCTTTTCGTTTATGAATTTGAATAAAGCCAAAACTACAATCGCTATAGAATAACATGAAAAAATTTTATTTCATGGTTTCTGTTCAGCTGCTTACAACCGTATTTGTATTGAAATATGTGTGAATAACTATGTGTAAGGTCATTTTAATATGGATATCGAAAGCGCAAATGGTGTGTGGCAGTTATTATCTTGAATTTGAAAATCGATAAGGCAGATCGTATAGAAATTTTATAGAGTTTGAAGAGTTTACACAAAATTAAGGATTAGGTGATTGAAAAGATAACATAAAAGTGAGTAAAATAACGTTTAGCGGAGATTGCGAAACAAAATACAAATATTAGTAATGACAGTTATTATTTCGCAACTTACCTTGTCAATTTTCGAATTCAAGATAATAACTGCCGAAGACCTACTACGCGTTCGATATCCATATTAAAATGACCTTACACATAGTTATTCACACATATTTCAATACAAATACGGTTGTAAGCAGCTGAACAGAAACCATGAAATAAAATGTTTTCATGTTATTCTATAGCGATTGTAGTTTTGGCTTTATTCTAAAGCAGTTTATTGTCAAGTAACTCCAATAAATTACAACTTTATAATGTGCGGATTCTCTCAACATCATCGGAACAACTTACGTGTGTATACAATGGACTTGCATTTGGTAAAATTTCCTTTTCTTTCAAGCAATTAACCCCAAAAGTCCTAAAAAATTCATTTCTACATTCATTTAAAGCCTTCATTTTTTAAAAGTCCCTAGTTATTGACCCTCCTGCCTAAAATTAGTTACGATCCATAGTGGTTTTTTTGAGTTGTTTTAATTTACTTTATGATGGTGTAAATTCTGGACTGGTTTTCTACAATATGCAAAAGTAAATTAATTTGGGCATTAGTAATACGTCCTTTGGCTAACTTCACCGGTTAACCTATCTGAAACACGACTTGAACTTCCCAATATTTAATGCGATTAAACAATTAGTTCTTTTCTTTTGTTAAACAATCAAGTCCAAGAAATCGCTAGTGCTGAGCTCACTGATCTAATGTCGGATTCCCAACAACTGTTCAATGATTGCATTGTGTACTAAGTCATATTTATTATAGGCGTTCATATAATCATGAACTGAACTGAACCGTTTCGAATTTTTGAAGAGATTATCACTGACGATAAACTCACCTTTCAACTTTCCCCCCAGGATTTTTACCTGTGTTTGATTGATTTACCTACTTTTATCTTCTTGGGTAGATTCTTTAGAGAACTTATGTTCCTGTGAGGGTATAGTCTGTTGATGTAATAAATATGATCTATAAGGATAATTTCAGCGCCTTTGTTTGGACGAAGTGATATTAAATCTTTGTATTCAAAAGTCATGTATTCGAGATTTGTATTCCTTTGATAGTCGTTACCTTGTGGGTTGACTCCCTATTCACGTCGGAGATTCAGTTAGTGACGGTGGTATCCACTCTAAAGGGTGCAAGTAGACAAATCAAGGAAACAGGCAAATATCCTGGGAAAAAAGTTGAAAGATGAGTTAATTGTTGGTGTTAATCGCTTCAGTCATGATTGTATGAACTTTTATAACAAATATGACTAACTACATAATGCAATCGTTAAACAGTTGTCGCGATTTGGACAACTGATTTGCAGTCAGATCAGCACTTGATTTCTCCGAAGTCGTTGATGAACTAATATTTTCTATACAAGAGAATATTACAACATATAAGGGGGAGGAAATTCAGTGGTTAGTGTAAAGGGTCATTTTGCTGTCTCGTTTCTTTATTGTGTGTTAGCAACTTCTCACTTATTAATTTCGAGTAACTTGCGATCTTATCCCTCAATAAAATCCCTTTTTAAAAATTACATTATATCCGTTCACACAACTATAGTTATGATATTATGAAGACATTTTTAGTCATTATAATATGATGTGTTTTGCTCATGTAGTATAAGTTCCTATCTATATTTCAAAAATGCAGAAACTGATTGTTTAAACACGCTAAAGCTTGTTGGGGTTACTGTAATCAACCACAGATCCAAACAACTGTGAATCATACCATTTTATGACATTAGAGGATTTACATCTACTATGAGAAATAATGATTAACAGTGAATTCAATGTTATAGCGTTTTTTTAACGTGACTGAATACCTTATACAACATTAAAAAGAAAGTGAAACAGGGGCTAACTTTCTTTAACCTCATTAACCAATTAGAAAATTATT